TTTCTTAGAATATTGCAGAAATGCTTTCTAGCCTCATAAGTTAAGCCTAGCTCACAGACTTCTATAATTTCCACCACTCTCACTGTCATTCATCCTTGAGCCACTAGCCACACCCTTCTTCATGAATTAATAAATTCTAGTGAGGTGCTTGAGCAAGCCTTTGTCCTGTGAATCCTCATCTGAATGGGACTCAGGACCCCTTGGCTGTAACTGTGAATATATCTTAGTATCTTTATTCTTGCCATAGGATGCATTGGAGGTGATAGATTAAAATTAACTCACTGGAATTCCAATAATGTTTCAGTAGGATTACAAATATAAACTTCCTTGACCACAAGGAGAACTGAAAAAAAAAATTACAATATTTGGATTATAGTATCAAATGAAAACTATTTTAACATATAGAATTCTTTGGTTCCCACCAATATCCATATTGTTTTTTTAAAAATGTGAGAGAAAAAGGACTTTATAATATGTAGGGGCTCGGGATTTAGCTCAGCAGCGTAAGTGCCTGCCTTGCAAGTGTGTGGTCGTGAATTTGATCCCTGGTACTGTTAAAATAGAAAAAGACTAAATAAGTAAGTAAATAAATAAATAAATAAATAAATAAATAAAATCATATATGTAAAATTCACTAATTTAAAGGTATTTTTGTAATAAGCTTTCTATTTAGTTTGTATAATGAAGATTTAGTGTAATGAAATATGTTTTCTTCTTTAGTGGTATTTGTAATGACAAATTACAAATTCATAATTAATGCATACATTTATGGGAAGATAAAATGTAAAAATAAAACCTAACAATTTATGTTTTAGTATATTTGCTGTCAAAGCAAGCACAGCAATTTATGTTTCAAGTTGCTAACAGAGTAGTTTGCTTCATTGCCATACAAGTTTCTGATTTCTTAAGTGCAGACATGGGTTTCGAAGTGTATTATTTGGCAGAATATAGCTATTACAATTAAACACTACTTTACTGATCCTTAGGAATTCTGTGTCTTGCGGAGATTCTGCTAAGATTTCTTTTATTTCTTGTTTTCTTTTGTTGTAGAGTGAAGGATTGTTTAGGCATTGTCTTTATATAGAAAATGTGCACTCTCCTTTTGTATACCATTACTTTTTTGAAGTTGTAACTTTTCTGTTACTTATTTGCCTAACTTGCATTTATAAAATTAATTCTTGTATCTTACCATTCTTGAAAGAGAAATGTATTAAATTCTTCTTGATAGAAACCTGTCATTTATATGACAACTTTAGACAGACCCATTGTCACTTTTGTCATATAATAAATAAAAGGCCTTCTCTTTCATTCATTCAGTGGTAAATTTTTGTTAGCTTCTATACTTTTCCAGCCAAATTTAATTTTTCCAATGTTTCAATCATAAAAGTTAAGGGATACTCAAAAATACATTTGTAAGCTCATATTCTTTTTCAAATTTCTCCTTGTTTTCTTTGTGGTATTTTTCCTGATCTAGTCTCTCTTCTTTTTTTTCCAAAGAAGATAGCTTCATTTTTAATGTAGAGGACTACATAAATGCTTTCACTTAATTCAGTGAAAAGCATATTGCCCTAATACTTGAGAAGTATCCTTCACTGATAGTGTCAGAACTTCGTTAGAAACTTGGAAGGAGAGGATTTTTTGTTGTTGTTCACAGTACAGTCCTGCCATGAATTATGTTTTTTGGGGCATACGAAATTTTACTAAAGATTTAGTGAGCAAGTGATTTTTGGTCCCAGTGTAATAAATCAATAATGTTCTTCTGAGCCTATTTCTTCACTGGTTACAATTAAAAGAAGCATTGTAACTGTAAGAAATTGCTTATTCCAATGGTAATATTAAAAATAAGAATACAGATATAAGTGAAATTAATAAGAATACAGATATAAGTGAAATTAATCTTGGATGGCATCAAAGAGACAATGAGGAAACTATATTCTTTTGTCCTTGGCACATATAAGACACTAATTTGTGTCTCTTGCGTGCCAGAAGATTGCTTTAAATTCTGCTTTTTTTTTTCCAAAGAGTATTTTATATTTTAGAGTCTACCTACAAACAAATTAATAATTTGGCCAACATTTTCAGGGACATTTCTTAAAATTTTTTCACAAACTCTTGGGCTGACTTCCATTTTGCCATCGTATCTTTGTCTTCCCTTTCAATACCATGTGCTCTCTTCTCTACTTTTTGCCTATTTCTGCATTGTGGTGGGAAACTATTTTGTGTTCTTCCCATTAAAGTCAACTGTAGCTTCCTGTTGAATCAATTTTAATTTTTTTGCTATACTGTCATTCTCATTAGAGAATTTTTTCCTTAGAGAAATATAATTTGGATTTACCCTTGTTGGGCAAGCAACTATGCATTTACACACTTTAATGTCTGTACTTGAGTAAAACCATTACAGTTAGCATAGCATGCAGAAATTTAACTACTATTTTATGTGGTTGATGTTATTTAACTCATTTAATTGAATTTTGAGTATATTAGCACCTTCTAAAATAAAACCTAAATCTCTGTATTGTTTCATTAGTTTTTGAGAATATATAATCTAAAGCTGCAATATGATATCACTGTTCCCTTAAGGAATATCTAAATTCTAAGATGATATTTGATACTAACTCTTATTATTTCTTCATTGAGAAGATGATAAGATTTAACACTATCATTGTATTACATTGATGGCAGAAGTTTTAGTAACTCAGAGTTACTAGGCAGTTGATTTTGAGTTAATCAGAAAGAGATACTGAGCGGGCCAAAACCCAGAGAGATTTAGGGCAGAAGAACTTCAAGGTAAGGGGCAGTCTATTCTGAGATGGGTGGACCACAGGCCACTGGTCTGTGAGCAGTCTTTAGGAGATGAGAATCATCCTTGGCATCAGCCAGTGAGACATTATTCCTGCTACAGGCAGGAAATACATTCTTCTGTTAACTCTTATGGGTTCGAAAGTGGATTCTTTTCACAGAATCTTTCCATGAAAACTTAGCCTGGATGAACAGCCAGTGTAAGTAGGGTGAGCCAGCCAGATTCGCCTCTGCTTGCTGGCTACTGCCATACGAAAGCTTGCTACCTGTGAGCAGCCAGCAAGGGCAAGGAGACCCAGCCAGATGTGCCTTTATTTGCCATCTGCCATCACTGGAAAGCTTGCTTCCTGTGGGCAGCCAGCATGGGCGGAAAGACACAGCCAGGTGAGCCCCATGCACCTGCAGGCCACCATTGGAGACCCTTACTTCCTTTGGGTAAGCCATCACCCTCTGGGAGAATCAGACAAACATCCCTGTATTCCTGCCACCGTTGGCAGGAGACCTGGTGTAGACATGCAAGCTGAGCGAAGAAGTAGTCCCACTAGCACACATCACTGGCCATTGAGAAAGCCCCACTGTAGCTGCATAGGTCTGGAGCAGCCTTCCCCATTCCCTGCTACCTCCATGGGTACCTGGGGTGAGAGAATCCCAGGTGCCTGACCCATTCCCCTCCACTGTGGAGGGGCAACCAATGTGGAAAGTGCCTGGGATCCTAAAACTGACTTGTTGGGAGGAACCCAGGAAAATGTCAGCATGAAGATCAAAAGACAATCTCAGACCTCCAGCCCACACAGAACAAGTCTGGAAGATATGGTTTTGGAAGAAAATGGAAGTTACACATCTGAAATCTCTAAGAAGATAGCAACTGAAGTTAAACAGTTTCATGAGATGATAAAAGTAATCAGATCAGGAATAATATCTCAGGTAAAAGAAGAAATGACAAACATAATGAAAGAATTGCTGAGCATATCTAAAGAAGACAGATAAACAAGAGAAGCATAGGAAAACAATGAAAACTTTGAGTGAACAATGTAAGAAGGACTTACAATACATGAAACAGATTGAAAGAGATATCCAGGAAATTCCAAGTTTATAAAAAGCTGGTAAAATTGCTTGAAAGAGGCTGAAGATAGACTGAAGTCCTGTGTTGCTTACATTATTGTTTTGATATGCTTTGTTATATTTTGTTTTGTTTTATTCTCTTTGGGAAAAAAAAAAAAAAAGGTCAGTTGGCCAACTTGCCATTTGCCTTGTAAGACCCTATTCAGAAAAGCCAAGGGCATCCCCTGGGAATTCTGAGCATCAGAACTGTGAGATAATAAATGAGTGCTATTTTTTAGACTAAGTTTTTGTGAATTTGCTGTGTAGGAATATGGAATTCATATAATATTAACTTTAAGAATAATCTTGAAAAATAAATGTGAATGTGGAACTTAAACTGTGGTTGAGACTGCAAATTCCTGTAGTAGGTATAAAACACATAAGTATATCCTAGCAAAAATTAGTTTCTAGATTTTTCCAATTAAAACTCTTTTTACACCAGACAAAAAGTACAACAATCACCATAGCCCCAAACTTGAAATAACTCAAATTCATTACTGATTACTTTGTAAGTAATTGTCATATCCAATAGAGAGATTCACAGTTAAGAATGAATTCACTGTTCCTGTGTCTGGATTAGTCTTGTATACGTTCATTAAATTAAGTTACCCATGTAACACTACATCACAGAGAGTGTTATCCCCAAAATAGGTGAAAATACTTAATGATAATATGAATGATAATGATGATTGATTATTCAGCCCTTTCAGTAGGTGATGAGGTAGAGGGCCTTAGGAGTACAGGAGTACTGCACTACTATGCTGATTAAGCACATGTGCTCTGTAAAGATTTATTTAACTAAACATGCACAATTTGTATACTTTTCATTTTTTGTTAAACATTTTTAAAAAGCTTTCGTTAAAATATTTAAAATATCTTCAACACTTTTTCCACTGAAGACTTGAAGAAAAAAAGAAAAAGAAAAAAATTAGCCAAGGTCATAAAGTTATTGTATAAAAGGATAGCATGGAAAATGATAATTCAGATAATTCAATGATACTTAATGTTTTAGCTGAATTATCACCTATTTGACTAAAAATAGGAAAGGAGAATGAGTCAGTGAATAATTTTGACATTTACAATTAATTTTTTTACCACAGTTTGCCGAGAGGATTCATACCACTCTGTAGTCTCATGTGCTGCGGTTGTTCTTGCACCTGTGGAACCAATGAAAGAAATGAAGAAAAGAGAAGAACCAAAATGTCCTGAGCCTTCGAAACAGTAAGTTGTCTGGTTAATTTTTGAGGCCTTGTAATACCAACTAGATAGCTGACCAGAATTAACATTGCACAGAAACTATGATTTGTGATTAATGTGAATTAGTATATAGATAAAACAGAAATAATGTTTTTGAAAGCAATCTATCCTGTGTTGTTTTGGTAAATCACTGCTGCTTCCGAATAACTTCATGTATTTGAGTGATATGTTGTTTAAGTTGTTACCATATTTTAGGAAAGTGGGTCAGTCGACTAACAAGTTATGATTATACATGTACTGTTGCTGGATTATGTATTTTATAGTTACAGACTTCATTGGTCTGAAATGGAATCAATTTTTAACATCAATTTCTAGTTGGTTGGTATTTGTGTAAGGAATTTCTTACTCTAAAATATTTTTATGAGCTGAATACTTTTCACATCTAAATAGATAAGGGTCATAGGAGAGGCAACTTTTTCCTAAAAGAAAGCAGAACCGCTGTTCTGGAGAGCTGGCAATATCTGATCTGGGCTGTGGTTGCATTACCATGCAAATTTATAAGCTATCAATTTAGAAACATTTTCCAGAAAGTATGTGTATGTTCAGTAAAACTATTATAAAATCCAAAAATATTTAAATATTGTAATTTAAATTTTTAAGGATTCACTTAAATTTAAATTTGGTCTTCATTAAATAAATGATAGACTTGTATCCTTTTAGAAGCCAAAGAGAATTAAATTCATGGTAATGAATGTAACATATATTGGCACAGGATGTAAACTATGATTATTTCTTATTCTATGCATGGCAAGTAAATCAAAATAAGAGATCTGCCGCTTATATTCCAGGAAGAATGGTTCAATGGCTGCTTTAAGGTAGTAGGTAGAAGAGTGTGATGCACAGTGTTACCAGAGCTGCTTAATTGGCCACTCCATAAACAAAGTGATCCATACCTGCACACATGTGCCTTTCCCACCTTGATTACCGTGGATTGTGGGTAGTGCTAGGTGCAAGTGTTTGGACTAGAAGATAAGCTTCTAAAGACAGTTTCCCAGAATTTGGTCATGTTTGATATTTCATGTGAAAGCATTTAACAAATTCCTTAATGTTATATTCAATAATATTAAAATTTTAAATTCAAGTGGAACAGTGTATATATTTGATTGCATAAGGATATTTAGTGTTAACATTCTTACCATAGATGGAAGAAGAGCTCAACAATTCAGAAAGTAATGATTGCAATTAAGTTTTAATACAATCAAAAAGTGAAAACAATTTAACTACTCTTAATATTGTCTCATTTTTAGATTCAAAAAGCTAGTGTTTAGAGGAAAATTATATCTAATAGTATTTGCCAAATGAATTATATTAAATATGTCAAAGCATTTTTCTGTGAGTTTACATGTTACCTGTGTATTTTTAAATTCAATCTGAATTTTTTTGTAAGTTATTTCAAGGTCACTCATCAAAATTTGGTAATAATATTTGCTTGTATGTCTGTACTTCCAGTGTCCCAGCTACTTCATAGGTGGTTTTTCTTATTCTGAAATTTATCTCTTTATAACAAAGAGAATTTACTATATTTTTTTCTTTTAGTCAAGTTCAGTTTTCTCTTTATTCTTGCAATCTACATTCTCATTTAAATTTTCTCCCTTAACTATATTAGTAATATATTTTAATTTTCTTTTTAAGTCAGAAAAAACCCAAAGATATTTATTTTCCTACACAATAGATTTTTTATAATTATGGACATTTTGGTTTGTGCTTTATTCCACCCATCTATTTACTTCATTTATTTACTTTACCCATCTATTAAATGGGGTTGTATTACCACATCATTGTAAATATTGTATGGAAGATATTAGTAAAAAGAACTTGAACTAAATAATTCTAGAGCACCATTCTGGTAATACTTCAACTGAGCATTATACATGACTTCAGATATGTTTCCTTCTCTTGAGGGTGCTATGAATGAAAGTGTAATATTTAAAACCGTTCACCACACATGTCCAGCTAGGTGTCCTAGGAGGGTTAGGTAGCAAATGTCTCAAATCACATTAATTATCACCTCTATCTAGTAGCCTCCTTAAAATCATGTTTCTTTCTTCTGTGTTTGTTAAGAGCTATCATCTTTTTTTCTTTGGAAAATCTCGATTTACTTTCCTCCTCTTGTCTTACATTCAGTGAGCTCTCTATTACTTGATTATTTCTGTTACATCTTTTCTTTACTGTCTGAGCTGAGCTTGAAGGAATATTTTATGTGTTTTTTTTAACATTTAGTTTCCATTATGATTTTAGATAAACTATTGAGATATTTTTAACATACAATTTTGTTGTGTTTCAAATGAAATACCATTCATCAAATGAAAATTACACATCACCTATACATCAAGTATGGTTATTTTTAGAATTAAACATTAGATGTGAGTGGATGAAAAAAATATATGTGTATGCAGATGACTAATTCAGCATTCTAGTTTTCCAATGAAAGAAGCTCCAATACAAACTGGCTTCAGTAAAATTAAGAGTAATAATGGTTTTTGGCTCAAGTAATAAGAGGTAAAGAGGTAGAACTTTCACATGTCATTGGATCTAGTTCTCGGTTTCATCAAGGACCATCCTATCTGCATCACTTTGCTTTGCTTTACCTCCTTGTGTGCAGTTCCCATTTTTCAGCAGCTTCTGAAGATGGCAGTGTTACTGCCTCTGTAGCAATGGATACAGGTGCTCATTTTGTAAACAAATTCAGTGGAAAGTAATGGTTTCTCTTAAGTCAAAACAAGCAAAAGCAGTTTAAAGTATTGTTGTATTTACCAGCTTAGTTTGTTTGGCTTGGTCATTCTTAAACAATCACTGTACCTAAAAGTATTTGGTGGCCTAATTGGCTCAAGACAGGTTTTATCACAGGGAGGCAGCACAGGGTGAAGTTGAAAGGTCAAAGTTATTCTGTCCTTGAAATATTGGTGATGATGGTAAAAGAAAGCAGACAGGGATGTTGTAGGACAAAATAGTAGATGATCAATGTATACAGTAATATTACCATTTATTTTAAAAGTTAGACTTCTTTTTTATATTTTAATTATAGATATTGGGATAATACAATACAACAGAACATATGTATCTTTATGTCTCATTTTAAGGGAATTTTCAACCACTTAGTTTTATTTCATATTGTTCAGTTAGGTTTAGCTATTGGCAAGGCAGTATAATTTGGTGATTGAGTCACCTTGCTGAGGTTTTCATAAAACTTTGTTTACCATCATTTTTATATTTCTCTTTAATGTGGGATTAATTTATTAATTAATGTAATTCCTTAAACATCAGGGAGGCAACAACATATAAATTTTGTAATTATTTTACAACAAATACATTAAACAAATAGTCACACCACCTTTATATATATATAATATATGTTTATATATGTAATATATATATGCATATATATGTATGTATATGTGATTGTATGTGTGTGTGTGTGTGTGTGTGTGTGTGTGTGTGTGTGTGTGTGTATAATCTAAGGTTTTGTATGGTCCTTTGTACCTCTTTTCATTCTTCTCTCTGCCTCTCCCATCTTCACCATCCCAGATTCTGTACCTTACTTACTTTCGTCTATCTTTTATTATGCTCTTTACTTATCTTTTTATGTTCTCATATAAGAGAACATAAAAATGTGTAATAGCTAACTCTCTTGGTTGACATATTTCACTTAGCAATGTAGACTCAAGGTATATTAACCTTCCTGTGAATGAATCAAATTCGTCCTTTTGCCAAGCTTTCTCTGCGAGTCGGCATCATGTGCCAGCTCCTGGGGGAAGAGCCAGACACGAGCTCTTTCCTGTGATTCAGCGCCATTCACAGACTTTGGGGGAAAAGAACAAGAAGCCAAGTCCTCCCTGTGAGTTGGCACCATGAGAGGGCCAGTCAGGGGTGAACCAGACAGTCTCCTCGCCCATAAACAACCAGCTAATCTGGAGAAACACATACTGTGGTGATAGCTATTGAGGTAAAATACAACTTAATGCTTGTCATATTTAGTGTTCCGCTGACTTTGTAAGCCTAACCTATTAATCTGATCATCTGTTCAGAGGATAACAATATGCAATGTAGTATCTATCAGGGCTCTCCTTTTGAAGGTGGTAGCCATTGTTAATTCCCTGTCACCTTGTTTTGAAATCCTATATCATTTTCATTGTGGTTTTTTTTTTTTTTTTTTTTTTGTTGTTGTTGTTGTTGTTGCTGAGTTTTACTCTGTTTTGTCTTGTGTGATTTTATTATATCTGATGGCATGGACAGCTATTTCAAAGATAAGATACATTATGGCAGCCATTTTGGATTTTTGTTATCTTGTTTTGAATCCTTTATTCAATTAATTGTTTTGTTTTTATTGGTTCTATTCCTTTCTGCTTTGTCTGAATTTTACTACGTGTAACTACTTGGAAGATGACAAGAGACATTATGGTAACCACTGTTGATTTCCTATTACCTGGTTTTGAAGTTCTGTGTCACAGTGTTTCGTTTTGATTGGATTTATTGTGTTTTATTTTTCTTGGTTTTATTCTCTGTAAAATAAAAGTTACAAAAGATTCATCCTTCTTTATGACTAAGTAGTGCTTAGTTATATATGTATGCATTTTCTTCTCATTTATGTTAATGGGCATATAGGGTATTTTCAAGCTTTTACTGTTACAGTTTTATTGCTATAATCATGGGTATGCATGATATGATGTCTGTAACTCTTCTGGAAAGATAATTACAAGAAATATAAGTAGGCCAAATGGAATTTCTGTTTTTAGTTTTTTGAGGTATCTCCATAATGATTTCCACAGTGGCTGTATTAGTTTACTTTGCCACCAACAATATAGAAGTGTTTCTTTTTCCCTATGACCTCACCAGCATTTGTTGTTTTTTGAGTTCTTGAATGATACACATGGTTTTAGGTATATAATGGAAACTATGTGTTGTTTTGATTTGCCTTTCTCTAATGGCCCAAGATACTGTTTTCAAACCTCTGTTAACCATTTGTT